CACTGGTTTGAACTCCTGACATTCTAGTTAACAGCCAAATTACAGCACATAGAAAATAATGCATGATATAGCATATTAAAGTGACTCTATAATATGCAACAGATACTAAGTGACCACCAAACACACATAACCTCAGGCCACCCTATTCCTTTTGGCTGAAAGGTAGCAATTCTGCGTCAATTTGCCTGAGTGCTGTGCCACACAGAAAACAGAAAGTATCAAAAATACGTTATCACTTTTATTTCACCAAAATAAGATATGGACTACTTTAATTTTAATAAGTACTAATTACTGATTATGGTACTGATTATAGGCTTCCCAGGAGATGTGAAATCATATAACATCTAGATCCTTAGAAAAAATATCTGGAAGGAAAAACTGAGGTTGTGTTTAATAAAGATGATAAATCTTGAGATACCTCAAAATCAAGTTATCCCTTTACATTTTCTCATTATAAAAGTTGCCACTAGTAACAGAATAATTTGCAACAACATAACTAAACTTACAATTTCAACTGTTGAAAAGTTTCCTCAGGGACTTTCACCAGTTGGTAATTGGCAAACAGAAAGCTTAGTAGGCTGTATCTACCTATAGAAAATCTGGAAGTTTGTCTAAAGAGCATTCATTCCAATTTATTGTATAACTGTACCAACGCACTGAGGGCATCTGTCAATATTTAAACCCCAAAGCTTCACTGCTTAGTCATTTTTTTTAATAGTCATCATTTAACATTTTAGAAAGTGAATAAGAAAGAAGCAAGCCTGATCAACTACTTCAAAATGCTTCACTTGGTTTGAAAATAAATCATGATTAAAATAGGCATTCTCCCAGATGGCTGTCACTCTGCATTTGAACGGAAACACCAGTGACGCTACACAGGAGAGTCAGAGCTGGTGGTCCCAACCTACCCCCTGCACCTTCATTCCCTTGTCTTTTTCCTTTTTCCAGCGGTTCGTTCCACAAAATGGAAAATAAGGGTGAAAGTGAGAAGAGGCATGAAAAATAACAGAGGTACTGAAACACTGTTGATAAATGAAGCAAGGCATGTTCAAAAGGACTGAAGAAGGACCTGAACTACTGTGATTTCAAAAGTACACATTTTAGGACAAGGATCTCTCCTCTCCTAGATGTTCAGACTCTCAGAGCACAAGGAAAGAGAACACATAACCTCCATCCCAATCCCCTCCACAGCGCATCTCTTGGGGGTGCTTGCTATGCATCTGCCAGTCCAGAAAGCCTGAGGTGGCTTTCTTCTCCCTCATACATATCAGATGGAACTAAACAAGAGTCTAACCATAGAAACTTGCTCAGATCTTAAAACAGACACTTTCTTTCTTTCTTTTTTTAAGTGCAGTAAAATATACATAGCAAAACTTTTCAACCACTATGACCTTTACAATTCAGTGACATTAACAATATTTACCATTATATGTGCTAATTATCACTATCCATTTCTAAATTTTCATCACCATTAACAAAAACAGTACCACTTAAACAACACCTTCCTACTTCCACCCCAAACATAAAAAGAGCATGTTATTTGCAAATAAATAAATATGGACTTAGAGCCTTTCTAATCAAAAGGAGCCCTGGTGGCACAGTAATTAAAATGGTCAGCTGCTAACCAAAAGTTCAACAGTTTGAACCCAACAGCTGCTCGGGAGAAAGATGTGGTAGCCAGCTTCTGTAAATAAACTCTATGATGCAGGTCTACTCTGTCCTATAGGGTTGCTATAAGTAGGAATCGACTCAACAGCAGTGGGTTTTGGTTAGTTCTAATCGAGATAGAACATCTTGTTTAGAAACAAACAGGTGACTAATCTTGTGATAGATATTGCAACTAATGAACTAGATATTTTCACTAATGAACTCAGCTTCTGAAAATAAATACGAAAGAAACTGAAGTTAGTTAAGGTATTAAAAAAAATAAAAATTTAGCCATCACCATGGTCCAATTTTCAGTTCCTGTCCTGGTAAATATTAGTTTGGGCAAAGTTATACTTCATTTAATTAGCTAAACCGTAATTAGCATTCAATTAGTATTAGGAAATTTTAGGTAATTAGTATTTCATTATTGTGTCCTGGTGATAATGCTGCCAAGTCTCTGATCCTATCCGTTTACAGCGGTATCCAGTCAAATGAACTATTTAACACCTTACTCCTTAGAATGGGCCGTCCCTAGATTCTACCTTATTCATTTGTTTCCCTCACAGTTGCAAGTCTACAGAACAGGAAATCTGGTCAATGTATTTTAGAATCTCTTGAAAATAATCGAAACAAGCCTAGATTTTAAATTTATACCAAAAAAAAAAAACCCAAAAAACCAAAAATACAACTCACTGCCATTGAGTCGATTCGACTCATAGCGACCCCTCCTTGGGTTTCCGAGGCAGTATCACTATGGAAGTAGATTGCCCCATCTTCCTTCTGAGGAGTGGCTGGGGGGTTTGAACCACCAGCCTTTTGATTAGCAGTCAAATGTCTTAGGCACTATTACTTCTAAATCATTTCAGTCTCTCATTAGGAATTTATTTTAGCTAGTCCTCTAATACAGAGCCCTGATTGAGCAGTAGTTTAGTGCTCGGCTGTTAACTGAAAAGTTGGCAGTCTGAACACACCAGCTGCTCTGTGGGAGAAAGATGCTTCCATAAACTTTACAGCCTCAAAAAACTTAAGGGGCAGTTCCACTCTGTCCTGTAGGGTCACTATGCATCAGAATTGACTCAATGGCATCTAACAATAGTCTCCTAATTGGGTAAGTCTGGGAGATACAAATGGTTAAGTACCCAACTACTAGGAGTTCACCCAGAGGCACCCTAGAAGACAGGCCTGAAGTCTGCTTCAGAAAGTCACAGCCTTGAAAACCTGATGGTTCACTGTTCAATTCTGACACGCTTGGGGTCACTATGAGTCCCAATGGCAACTAACAGTAGTCCTCTAATATCCAGTGATTCACTCAGCAAATATGTGATGAATGCTTACTGTATGCAAGGCATCAGGGAGGATGCAAAAAGAACACACACTTTTCTCAAGGGGCTTTTAATTTAGTATAGAGATCACATATAGGCACTTAAGTCTAAAACAAGGCCAAGAGAAAGCTATAAATGAACTGCTATATATATAATGGGGTCAACCTGCGGGCTAACGCATTCAGGAAAAGCTTTCTTAAAGAAACATGCTATAAAATGGAAAGCCAGAAGGACCTTAGAAAATACCCATTCCAATCCTATCATTTTACAGGTAAAAAGGAAAAGACTTGAGAAAAGGAATGACAATTTACCATTATCACACAGAGAACTGGAAAACCCGGACAGGAAGGCAGCTTGCTTCTTTTCTATGGTATCAGTTACCACTCTGAGACTGAATAGATTTCAGTAGCAAATCTGAGGGGAACAAGAGAGCATGCTGGCCATGCAGGCAAAGAGCAAAGGCTGGGATGTAACAGGGAGAAGAGGACATATCTGGGGAACAGAGTGCTGAATTCAGATGAAGACAAGAGTTTGAGAGGAGAACTGAGACACTAGGCTGGAGGCATGTGGATGAGATGATGGAAGACAACAAATGACAATCTAAGAGAGTCTTTCACTAGATAATTTAAAGGACACAGGTGGCATAATTGACTTACAAAATCTACAGGTTCCTTCAACATTGGTATTATATGACACTGACTGTTTTAGAAGTTTATAATCAAAGAACTGACAACCTTTTTGCTATGAAAAAGGCTAGCTATAAGAAGCAAACCTACACTGAATACAATCTCTGTGTTTCCATTCTCCAAAGAGAAGGGTGACAGAATGGGAATAAGAGAAGGCAAGACACCATGACACGTCTTCTGCCTGTTCCTCCTAAGGATCTTCAGCTGGCGGCCTCTGTGTACCTGGTTGCTGAGCCACAGTTATGTGGCCAAGTCTGAAAAACAGCAGGATCTCCCATTTTCAAGATATGCTGGAGTCCAACCATGTACCTACAGAGGTATAGGTCCTCTTCCCATCACCTGACCTATGCCATTGCCCAGTCTGTTGCCTGAGGGTCTTGTTCCCTTCTCTGGGACTGGACACAGATTGGAGGTAGCATACTAGATGTTGTGCCACTATTTGTATAGCATTTTAGAACAATTTCTAAGAACTTTCACAGCCTCTTTGGATACAGAGATGAGCAAGAGAAATGTTGTCCCTGCCCTAGAAGACCACACTGACAAGCTGGAAACAGAGGCATTCACTGTGTATTTACAGTAGCATTTGAGTAGAGTGATGAAAGGGAGAGAAAGGGGAGTAAAAACAGGAGAAACCTAATTCAGCCAGGGACAAGGGAAGGCCTTCCTCCCAGGAGTCAGGGATTGGGGAGAGGGGTAAACAAGGGGAGGCGTCCTCCATGGAGAGGGAAGAGCATACATCAAGGACCAGAGAAGACACAAGAAACTAAAGAAAGTTCAGAGTGGCTCAAGCTAAGACAGAGTGAAAGGAGGGAGTCAGGGGTTTCGGCCAGAGAGGTGCTCAGAGTCTGAGGCTGCAGGACATTCAAGTCACACTGAAGATCCTACTGTATTCTAAGGGCAAGGGAGAGCTAATTCAAGCAAAACCAAAAGTGAGCTTAATCAGATTTTAGTTTCAGAAGTATCAAGCTGGCTGCAGAGCACGAGATAGGTCAGAGCAAGAGGAATGTGGGCGTGGAGCTATGGTGGAAATTGTTGGTGTAATCCAGGTGATGGCAAGCTAGGCTGGGGCGACAGATATGGGAAACAAGAATAGATGTTGATGAGGTAGACTGGTCTAGACTTTATGGGTGACTGAACGAACAGTGGGGTGGTGATTTAAGCTCTGAGATGATTCTAAAATTCAGAGGGCGGAAGTCTCTTTGTTTAATTAAACCAGTTTTTTAATTGGGGGGAGGAGGGAGGAGAGAATTCTTTCCCAAAACTTATTTCAGTAAGAAGAAACTCACTGCTTTTAAACTAATATATATATATATTGCCTAGAGCCTGGGATCCAGCCATAACTCACCTGGTTACCAACCAATAACAAGTGTTCTCCAAGAAGAAAGTCTTTTAGCATATCTTCCATCACTATCATGTGCTAGAGGAAAAAGAACTAGAAGTTAATTGAGTTTTGTACAATTAAGGTGAAATAAGTAACTACAAAAATATCATCATGGAAAAAACAGATCTCTTATGACAGCCAATACTCTAACAACATGATTAAAAACAAACAAAAAAACAAAACAACAACAAAAAAATGAAACTAATGCTGTGGTTATAAATAAGTTCTACCACCAAACTGAAAACTTTAAATAATTTGCCTAAACAAGACAAAGTCACTAACAAGACAAAGAGTTTTAAAAATTCAGTTAAAATATCTTTCAGCTATTAAAGTATGTAGAGTTGACTTGTAATTTAGTATTTAAATTAATAGTTGCTAATGTAAATATACAAAGCCTTCCTCAAATAAGTGGAGATTTCCATAGACCATGTTACATTGACTTCCTCTAAACTATTACCTTCAAAACTACGTATAGTTGTAGTTTTAAAAATACATTATTTACCTTTCACATTTTTCAAGTAAAATTATGACACAGTATAAGAACAGGATTGCAGGTTGTGTTTTTTTTTTTTTAATAGAGAAAACATTGTTATTTTATATATTGAAAAATAGTGCTCCTGTAAGTAGGTCAAAGGATCATTCCAGGAGTAGGCACGGGGCATGCATGTGTATATGTGCAGCAGTAGAGTGTGTGCAGTGGTACTGTGTGTGTGTGTGGGGGGGTATCTAATCCCAGAACAGTTAATATCATTATTACTTTCTCTTGATTTTTCTATATCAAGTCAATGATGGACCCATAAGCACGCAGTGACTGAAGTTTCCAATATGAATAAAGGGGTCCCTGGGTGGTACAAACAATTTGACATGCTCACTTCTAAACAGAAGCTTCGTGGTTCTCAAGTTTACCCAAAGGCACCTTGGAAGAAAAGCCTGACCTGCCTGGTGATCTGCTTCCAAAAAACAACTCACTGCTATCAAGTCAATTCCGAATCATAGTGACCTTCATTGGGTTTCCAAAGTGGTAAATCTTTATGAAACTAGATTGTTCCATCTTCCTTCTGAGAAGTGGCTGGTGAACCACCAACCTTCTGGTTAGCAGTCAAATGCCTTAGGCACTGCACCACCAGAGCACCTTTCCAAAAAACCAGCTATTGAAAATCCTAGGGAGGACAGTTGTACTCTGACACCAGATTGCCAAGAGTCAGAATTAACTCAATGGCAAATGGCTTTTATTATAAAAAAGGCAAAAGAACATTGTGATTCTTTTCGCTTTGACTATGAGAAGAAGCTACTTATATTCAGCATTTTACTGATTAAAAACAAAAAAAAAAAGACTTTTAGTAACTTAAAACTAAATACCCACAATAAAGGATAAACTTCAAAATAATTTTTTTTTTTTTTTGGCTTATTAACTAAAGTGTCAACAATACATGGAGACTGGTAAACTTGTACAGAGTAAAATGATTTCTTTGTTATTTCTTGTTATAATCCACATATCTGCTATTTATTTTTTATGTTCCCAGTAAGTCCAACATCAACCCTTTGAAAAACTTATTTAAAATCACTAAGGCTAGGAAAGAACAGTACCCCTCTTGTGGAAATCTTCTTTATCCACATTATAGACACAAGCTGTGTTCATTCTGAATATAAAATGGGATCCAAATACCTAGGGTGTTAAGGTAGCTCATCAGATGCCAAACTCCATTTAGACCTGCATTTTCAAGCACAGAGGGATGTGTTTTACCCCTAAACTATGATTTAAATGACTACATAGTATTTTTTTATTATTATTCCAAGATTTACTTATCAAACCCATATACTTCTAGGTTATTTCCAATTCTTCTCTATTATAAAGTACAATGCAATAAGAACATCTTTTTTCAAATTAAATCTTTGAGTGGATTTCTAATGCCTTAAAATTAATTCCTTAATGGATTTTTGTTTATTTTTTGCTTATTGTTAAAAGTCAAACATTCCTGTTTTTCTTATTTGTATGTTTTGAAAAACATAAGGAAAATTAGCACTTCACATGGAATACATGCTGTTGATATTGCCACTTGCTCTTTTTTTTAAACTTGCTTTATAGTATATTTTCTTTTCTGTTTATTTAATCATAAGTTTTTCCTTGCCAAATATATCATAAGATTTTACTTGTCAAATTTAGCCAATATTTTTCTTCACAGTTTTTTCTTTAGAAAGAACAACAGAAAGTTTTTCCCTCCTTCATAAACAGGTAAGTATTTGCTGGGTTTTAATTTTTTTAAATGTTTTCACATTGGAGCTAGAGTTTTAATAAAGCCTGAAGTAGGATGATCATATCAATTTATTGTCCATTCTAAAACAATTTTTAAAGTAAAGAGAGATACTATTAATAATTATGCTGGGACACATACAAACAGGAAGTGTTATAAGCAAACTGAGATATAAGACTGCCCTGAGTAAAAGGAAAGGAGCTCTGGTGGTGCAGTGCCTAAGGCATGTGACTGCTAACCAGAAAGTTGGCAGTTCAAAACCACCAGCTTCTCCTCAGAAGGACGATGGGGCAATCTACTTCCATAAAGATTTATTGCTTTGGAAGCCCAATGGAGGTCGCTATGATTCGGAATCGATTCCATGGCAGTGGGTTTGTTTTGGTTTAGTTAAAAGGGAGTTCTAAGACATTATTTTAGTCTGGTTTCTAGTGGTAAGCTTGGAGACCTCTTCTGTCTAAGATGTAAGTGCTAAAAATTAGTGCCAATTTCCAGTTGTTGCAGTAATAAATGGGTTAATCTGCATGAGAAATAAAAAATGATAGAATGAGCACTAACATACTCACTGCCAATGAGTAGATTCCAAACTCCTAACAACACTATAGGACAGAGTAGAATTGTCCCATAGGGTTTCCAAGGCTATAAATCTTCACAGAAGCAGACTGCCACATCTTTCTCCTATGGAGCAGTAGGTGGGTTTGAACGGCTGACCTTTTGCTTAGCAGGTGGATGCTTTAACCACTGCACCACCAGAGCTCGCTAAGCACTAGTATAGTGATGTAAATGCTACAAAATAATTCAAACAATATTTATATTCTTAGCTTTTTTACTATTCTCATGTCCTCCTACTTCATGCCCTCATTACATCTAATTAGATTATTCAAATCAACTAGTGTTAGTTAAGTCTAAGGTCATGTTCTGTTAAACAGGATATTATGTGATTTGGACATTGTGTGAACACCATATTAAAACCTTATAGCAACCTGCTTCCAGTTGTCCTCATTGCTACTGCTACCACTACTAGAGCTGCTGCTAGAGGAGACTAGAGGAGCAGGCACTTGTAACAGTGATGGATGAGAGGGCGGGGACAAGAGTGGAACAAGAGGAAGTGAGCAGGAAGGGAGCCACACACGCCCAGCCCCACCCACTATTCCAATCACCTGAGCAGCAGGAGCCGCCCAGTTGTGCAGCCCCACTGGCGCCATAGGCACCATCACCTGCCCACCAGACAAAGCCCAAAAGTTGACACTTAGAGCCATGTTCTCTGCCTCACCTGCCTGTATCCTGCCCATGGTCCAGTGCTGCAAGAGTCTGTGCTTGGGATCTTTGAAATCATCTTTGTTGTGATTAGGTGCTGATGAGCCGATTCCAACTCATAGCTACCCTATATACAACAGAACGAAACACTGCCTGGTCCTAAGCCATCCTCACAATCACTGCTATATTTGAGACCATTATTATACACATTGTGTCAAAACCATTAGGGGGAGACAGTAAACAAAAGGAGAACTACTTCTCCCCTTTAAAAAAAAAAAACTCATGGGACCACAGACATATATGTAGTTGGACATTATCCAAACAGACCTTAAGTGACACAAACCCATATTCTGTTGTTTTTGGGTGCCGTTAGCTCAATTTCTGACTCATATAGTAACCCCATGTGACAGAGTAGAACTGCCTCCATAGGGTTTTCTAGGCTATAATCTTTATGTGAGCAGATTGTCAAGTCTTTTCTACCACAAAGAGGCTGCTGACCTTTCAGTTAGCAGCTGAAAGCTTCACCATTGAGCCACCAGAACTGCTTACCAAATCTATACTGATCTTTAACAGAAAGATTTTTCTCCCTACCTTCACCTTGTATTTCTAACAGACTATCAGACCACTTGGTTATTGCCCAACCTCCTCTAACTCAACATATCCAAAATTTGACTCACTGCTTTCTCTTCAATTTCATTTTTTTTTATTCTATACCTTTTATCCCAATGAATGGCATCATTTTTCTACCTCTTGCCCAAACCCCTGTCATCATCATCTTCCTGCCCACATCACTCCTGCCTTGTTGCTGTTAAACTAACTCACTGCCGTCGAGTTGGATCTGACTCATAGCGACCCCTCCTTGGGTTTCAGAGATGGTATCACTATGGAAGTAGATGGCCCAACCTTCCTTCTGAGGAATGGTTGGTGGGTTTGAACCACCAGCCTTCTGGTTAGCAGTCACATGCCTTAGACACTATGCCACCAGGTGCCATCAAGTTGGTTACAACTTATAGGGACCCTGTGTACCAGAACAAAACACTGCCTGGTCATGCATCATCCTCACAATTGTTGCCATGCTTGAGTCCATGTCACAGCCCCTGTAGCAGTTCATCTTGTTGAGGGTCTTTTCCTTTTTCACTGACCCTCTGCTCTACTAAGCATGATATCCTTTCTCCAGGGACTTGTCCCTTCTGATAACCAAAGTATAAGAGACGAAGTTGGCTATTTGCACTTCTAAGGAGCATTCAGCTATTCCTCCCAGACAGATTTGTTCATTCTTCTAGCAATCCATGGTACATTCAATATTCTACTCTAACACCACAACTCAAATGCATCAATTCTGCAGTCTTCTTTATTCATTGTCCAGCTCTCACATGCATATTGTTGTTGTTGTTATGTGCCGTCAAGTCGGACCCGACTCATAGCGACCCCTCCTTGGGTTTCCAAGGCAGTATCACTACGGAAGTAAATTGCCCTTCCTTCCGAAGAGTGGCTGGTGGGTTTGAACCGCCAGCCTTTTGGTTAACAGTC